GAAGCCTGCAGAGAACATAGCAAGCTAGGGGTGCAGAGAGAGGAAACACAAATGGAGCAGAGCACTTTCGAGGAGTGGGAATCCCTCCGAGAACAAAACCGAACCAAGACCGCACTGAACCTCAGGAAAGTCGAAAGTAACCTTCCAGCCGATGCAGTCGTGATCCACCGGTCGAAATACACAGTGGAGTTGCGAGCGACTCACCCAGAGCAAGAGAATTGCTTCCCCCCCAATTCGGCCAGGGTCCTGACAGCTCAAGAGGCCACGAACGCTGAGCAGGCTCCATTTCTAGGAGGAAGTGCCAGAGATTCCAAGAGGAAGAAGAAGAACAAGCAGGGCAAGAGAACCGTGCTGGTGTTGTAGTCCTCGCGCATCAATATCGGGCTGTGTGCAGGTGAGTGAGCTCATGTGGTGGGTTTGAGATATGGGACACCGTGAGTGAGAATGCCATTGAAGGCATTCCATTCTTTCCTTGCCTTTTCGGGTTGACAAGAATGTTGCTCACAATCCTCACGGGCTTCTTTTCTACTCTCAGGAAAGTGTTGCAACCTCCACCCAGTGTATCAGACGCTCAACAGAGGCAGATGAAGTGAAACCCGCAGAGCAATCAGCATTCCAGAACTCTTTATGCCTCTGTCCAAGTGAATGCTATTGGGGCAGGCACATGGACAGGGCCACGTTTCAGCAACACTTCTGTGTAGAACACTGACACAAGACGGGGGTTTTGCATGGTCGGCTCTACAAGGTTTTCTGCAAAGGAGAAGTTGAGAAATCGGAACAGTTTCACATGAGTCTTGGTGACATGAGAGAAAAGCAACATGACAGGGTTTGTGCATCAGAGGATTCCACATTTCCAGGGATGTGGAGCTGTAGATCAAATGGGTGGTGATGCTCAGTGGATTATGAGAAGGCGCTGATCAACTTGGAGTCAAAGAAATGCAACTGCTCACCCGGCCTGAGTGTCAGAGCTCCTGAAACAGCCAGGGGCTCTTGAGTGTGGTAGCTTGCCACAGTGGTGCCTGTAAACCTTTATACTGTGACATTCATAATAAATCAATCATTGACGATATTCCACCGTGTGAGCTGTTTTCTTGAAATGTCTCGCATTTCTGCTGCTTTTATTCCTAATGGCCATGGCTAGGGTGCAGGTATGCTGACTTGCTCACCCCAGCATTGGTTCGGTCAGGCTTCCAAACCATCAACTTTACAAATGGACCTGGGGGCATCACTTCTGATGACACTTGGATTCTGCAAGCATGCATGGTGCATGAGTATGAAGTGAGTTTGGTGAAGCTTCTGGGAGCACCTGTGCATGGAGAAAAATGGTGAAATTCATCTGAGTAAAATGCGGGCAGAAATCTAAATGACACCTCATATATATAAGTTCATTGAGTCACCATTTTTTATGACCGAGGTGTTTCTCCATCTGGCTTTGCCAGCAGTCATGAGAGCAGTCACCTGCGTTTCTGGTAAATTACTATGTTGGCAGGCTCATTTATGGCATTAACTTAGGCAGTCTCCTTTTCTTCTTTATTTCAACACTTAATATCAATTTCACTCATACCCAATTAGAAATTTTATTTTAAAACACATATGTAGGTGAATCAATTCTTTTAACACTTAGTATTTGAAAATCTTGTAAATACAGTGTGAAATCCACTGCTCTACTCTCCTTTAAACTATAATTTGAGGATATGAAGCAATCACTTTCATCTCTCTTCTAGAGGAAGGAGGGTACCTGTCAAATTACCAAGCTCAGAAGGGCCTAGTGGGGACTTCACATTAAGTCATTCTACACAGAAATAGATTGGTGTCCAAAAAGCATTGGAATCAGCATTTATCCAGCACCTCACAGAGGGATGATTCTCATGTGATTGAGACAGGTTTGTTTGCCTCTCCAAGGGAAAGCAATATACTCTAATTTGTATCACATGGTCCAATAAATCTAGATAGACATCAGTCACCTCAGTGAGTGACCAGGCCCTCCTTTTTCAACTCTTCCAAAAAAGGTCCTTGTTCTTTCCATGCACATTTGCTACATGACCTGCTTCCCTATTAGATCAATATTACCTAAGCGGCTATACTTATAATTGTAGAAGTTGATCATTGTATTTACCCCCATGGTACTCACTTCATGATTTTGTACCCATTTCATGATTTTGCTGTATAAATCTTCCTCTATAAAGTGGGGTCTGCTGCATTCCACCTTTGGATCCCCCATCTCTCTGGAGCTATCTCTCTCAATAAATATTTCCTACTCTTAACCCCCATTGTTCCTTAGAATTCACTCTTCAATTTTTTGGAATATGAACTCAGCATATTTATTTCTCCTACATTAATAGGAGAAGTCATTTAATTTGACTCATGCTTTCGAAATCTTGAGCTGATTGTCTGGAGGATCCAAGGCAGGAAATACATAGTGCAATGGCATGCAGGAATAAGGCTGTTCACTCCATAGCAGCAAGAAGCAGAGGACAGATGAAGGCAGTGCTACAGAACAAGAGGTCAGGGACCATGTAGAGACACCATATCACCATGGACCCCCTAAGCACAATCATAAGGGACTTTATGAGTCCCTTATATATTCATGAATCCTCTCAATTAGACAATAAACAGTGCCTCACTCACTAGGTTGAACCTAGAATGTTTAGACTGAGTTCTTGAGAACAGCAGTCATTTGGTTCATTTGTTTGTTTGTTTGTTTGTGCATGTCCCTCTACTTCCAAATGCAATTTTTAACCTATTTTTCTTTTGGAAGAGGTATCTGGAATAATAAAGTTGCATTTTATTTCTTCTCATTTTGGAAATGTAACAAATAACATATCAATCTCACAGAACATAGACATCTTTCTAAATATTTCATACATTCAGCTGGGGTTTTTTCTTCAGTATACTTCCAACGTACCCTTGAAGAAGCTGTGGTTCCTTTTTCTTTTTAACAACCTCCATCTAATGCAGATCCAAGGCAGTTTCCTCCAGCCTTTGCCAAGGTGGCACCCTCATGGATCCAGTGGTGTTCTTCTCTGTAGGACTTTTTTTTTTGTACTGGGGATGGAACTCAGGACCTTGTGCTTTTGAGGCAGGCACAGGCAGCACTGAGATAAATCCCCAGCCTCCTGGGTAAGACTTCTTGTCAGATTATTATGTTGCTCCTTAGCTTTCAAAAATTTGTCATAGATTCTAGAATTTTACAAAAGAAATGGTTCATTCCCTGTGATATAATCATTACTTTAGAGTACTGTAGTTAAACTTTTGGAGCGCCTCAGGCCATCATTTGAGGTGAAATCATTCTCCGTGGTAAATCTTTGTTAATTACAATTCAATGATGACATGAAGTCTAAAATTTTCTAAATTTATTGTACTTTCCTTTAATTTATGCTTTTATATGGGGAGTAAATCATCTTCACTTTCTTCACTTATTCATAATATGTCCTGACAAAGCAGATATATTTCCTCTTCACCCTATTCTAAGTGATGTATGTCATAATCCATTTAGTGAATAAGTCTGCAATGTATACCTCACATGACTTAGCTGCAGTTCCAAGACACTGGACGAGGCTTAGATAGGTAATGATTCCATTGATAATATCTGTGGATGCAGCAGGTAAACTAGATATCTTTGCTGTGTACTAGAAAAGGGAGCCATCTTACCTGAATATGAAGAATGTCCATTTGCACACCAATGACCACAAAAGTTAATGTCCATTCCTGCTTTTCATCTGTGTACTAATAGGCTAAACATACCATGTTGCAAGTGAAGACAGCATTATCATCTGCAAAGACTGAGTAAAGAGGAACACAAAAACAAGGAGTTTAAGTTGAGAATACATTCGGCATTTACCCACAAGTTTACCTGTACACTTCAGCTTTCCAGACATGTCACAATGAGTCACCTCTGGTTATTTCTTGAAAATATTCCCTGCTTATGGAGACCAAATGAACTGCAGAAGAAAGGACTGTGGTCTCCAACTTTACATAACTGTCCCATGTCCTCTGAAAATGTATTCATTATATTTAATGAAAAGACATCATTTAAAAATATTCAGTCAAAATGTAACAGACATAGAGAAATTTCCATTACCATTGTTTTGCTTGATTCCCTTCTAAATTTGATGAATGCACATATATTCCTTGTTGAAGTTCTACATTTTTCAACATGCTTCTAAAGGCACTGCTGCTATTTGTGTTAGGGAAGTATACAGGTATCAAATAAAGAAGATTTTATAGCATATAGATGTTTCATTGAAGAGTTTTCACATTGTTGAAAACATAATGATATTACTCAAACACAATTTTGTAAGAAATTTTTATTAATGTTCCTTTCAGTTTAGCCAAGTGTATGTTGTGGGGTATTGTACGGAGATAATCTCAAAATTGTCCTTCTTTAGTGTGGGACATGATTGTGTCTGAGATGCTACACCTAGTTAGTTCAATTCAAAAGCTTTAGAGATAAACTTACAGATACTCTATGAGTTAAAAGAGGAGAGATCATTGGCTCTATGCTCCCATTGTATGCACGTATATAGATAAGAACTGCAGAGCAGGCCAAAGGCTTCAACCAATTGTCTGTGACACTGCCTTTGTGAGCTTATATTATGGTATTCTGAGAAATATGGCATGAAAAGAACAGTTCTGTTTTATCACCACTATGGTACAATTGTAGACACCAGATGCTTGTGGAAAGTCAGAACAAGGTAGATTTTCTGTTCAGGAGTTCATTACAAAGGAAGATTCAGGTTTGAGGTCAAATGTTTACCTATATTATAAGGTTCTAAGACTTAAATCCGTGAGTCAACAACTACATCAAGTATTAAACAATACTAAGATTATTCATAAGCTTTTATTATTGAAATGTTTGAAAACATTGTATTCACTTTGAAAGTTACTATTTTAATCTAAATTCTTATAACCATATATATTTGATATTGAAAGATAATCACAGTACCCTGGGTTAAAATACCATGTATTTGATGAATAGTTAGTCAGTATTCTGAAAATTATTCTAAATCCTTTTTAAAGTGTATTTTGAAGTGTTGATTATATTTGATTATATATTGATTATATTTTCCCAAAATCCACTGTGTATGTAAAACTCTAAAGTATTTTTCCAATTGCTTGTAGGATTTTTATCTCCTCAGAGAAGAGTAGTATTGAGGATGAAATGAGTGACGATTGCAAACTTGTTTTCATTCATGACACTGACAAGTTTTGTTCAGTGCAAATATATTATGTACTTACTATGTATGCTACTGTATGTATAAGCGGTTTATTATTTCAGAGTAAATCTTTTCTCCAGTGGAAATATTTTATATTCCTCAGGAATAGTCATCCACTTATGTTCTTTAAAACTCCGATTAATCCACTCCTTGTTTTTTCTTTTTTTTTTTTTTTTGGTACCAGGGATCAAACTCAGAACCTTGCACTTGCAAGGCAGGTGGCAGCACCACTGAACTAAATCCCCAGCCCACCACTCATTTTCTTTTGTACACCAAGCTTGGTGTTTGGAAGAATAGCTATTAAGAGTGACTGGAGTTATAGGAGTTCTGGCAAGTGGAGTTTTCCACTTTGTTTAAACATAAATTATATATGCACATATTTCAACCTTTATTATAGATCAGAAGTTCCTTTTTAGCATGTTGTATCAGAAATTAGAGGTTTATTCTTGAAGTCTTCTTCAATGTTTAGCTACTTAGGTTATTACCTCAAAAAAAAAAAAAACTATGATGTGAAATGCCTGAAGTGTTGCAGCAATTAATACTTGCGTTTCCTTTCCCTATGTGCGTTAGTATATTGAGTGAAGGGTACACCGATCTTTTGCCACCTTCCCTAGGTGTCCTCATAATCCCAATCCCTTCTATATATGTCAGAAAGAAAACAGTCCTGGGGCAGTATCTCAGAACACCAGGTCCAAAATGGGCCTACATTTAAATCTCTGGTCCACTCCACTGTCTTCCCCAGGTGTCCTGTGTGGACCCCGCATTATCCTATGGATTTAGGAAAACAAAAAAGATCCAGACATGCACCTCTGACCCATGAATTTATATCAGTGTTAAAAAGACAGAGAATCTTTGCTAGGAGCAGCATAGCTGGGGACTCCACAGACAGAAAGCAGAAAAAAAAAAAAAAAGAACCACAAAGTGAGCTATTTCACAGACAGCAGCCAAATGAAAAGATAGCTAAGTCTTTTGGTCTACCAAGACCAGAGGAAAAAAAGAAAAGAAAATTTGGCTATTCTACACACAGCATGTCAGAAATGGGACAAAAACTACTACACCACAGGTAGATATTCTTTACCACAGAAGGCAGTCATTTTGGTGTGGCCACAGAGGAATGTCATTAATTATTTGGCAATGTGTGAGGTTTCCTGCTTCATGTGGTTTAGGATCACTTCCTGCTCAGGACCATCCCCACCTTTGCTTGCACTGGTCATATCCAATATGGCCATGCATCTCATAGGGCTTTACTTGTTCACCCTATAGCCTCATATGCTTGTCCTTTATTATTTATGAAAGTGGCAGCTCCCTGAACATTTTCTGTCATGTTGTTCATTCAAGTCCCTGTCAATTCTTCCCTCTTTACTGTAATCTAGGATTCCTATCCTCCTTTGTTTTTAGCAGAGCTGAGGGTAATATTCTGTCTTCAGGAGCTGCATTAGAGCTCATAGAATTGAATAGATCCTCTGTACTGGAGTCAAAGAACTTCTTGAATGTAAGACTCTAGTGTCACTGATGTGGTGGGTCTGTTTTAGCTAATTTTTTGTTGTTGGACAAAATTCCCAGACCAACAAATTAAAAGACAAAAGGTTAATTTTCACTGTTTGAATAGGTTTCTGTTTGTAATTGGCTTGATACAGTTAGAAAAGGAGGAGCTGAATGAGCCACCCCTTTCTTCATTCAGCTGCGGACACAGCATGGCTCTAGTGATTATTCATGTTTAAGCTTAGAAAGTCATGATGTCCAAAGTAGCAGATCATTAGTTTCAACACCAGTGAAAGACAAAGTAGGAGGCACCTGGAGACAGAGGTGTCTGACCACAGTGGGAGGTACCTGAAGTTAAAGGTGCCTGACCCTTTAAACACTGGAAGCCTGAGTTGTGTAAGAAGCTCATCCAGGCTCATTAAGAGTTCCTCTTCCTGGATACCAGAAAATGGAAAGACATCTCCTGTTCATGGGTAGGAAGAACCAATATAGTGAAAATGGACATACTTCCAAAACTGCTATATAGATTCAATGCAATTGCAATTGAAATTCCAACAGCATATTTCACAGAACTAGAGAAAACAATCCATAAATTCCTTTGGAACCAGAAGAGGCCTAGAATAGCAAAAGCAATTCTAGGCAACAAAGACGAGGTGGGGGTATCACAATCCACAACTTGAAACTATACAGCAAAGCTATTGTGATAAAAACAGCATGGGATTGGCAAAGAAACAGACCAAAGAATGAGTGGAACAGATTAGAAGATGCAGAAACAACTCCAGACATACTTAGCTACCTCATCTTTGACAAAGGAGCCAAACACCCTCACTGGAGAAAAGATAGTCTCTTTAATAAATGGTGCTAGAAAAACTGGGTTTCAATTTGCCAAAGATTAAAACTAGACTCATATCCCTCACTAAACTAAACTTGAAATGGATCAAAGATCTAAATATTAAAACAGAAAAACTAAATCTACTAGAAGATAGGCTAGGTACAACTCTTGAAGACACTGACATAGGAAACAACTTTATGAACAAAACCTCAGTCACACAAGAAGTAGCACAAAGAATCAACAACTGGAATCTCATCTTCTTAAAAAGCTTCTCCACACCAAGAGAAACCACCAATAGCATGAAGAGACAACCCACAATGTGGAAAAAAATTTTACCAGCTGTTCTTCAGACAAAGGACTGCTATGTAGAATATACAAGAACTTAAAAACATCAGACTCCCACAAATTTAAAGACCCAACCCAAAAATGGGCATCTGAAATGAACAAATATTTCTTAGATGAAGAAGTAGAAACAGTTTTGTAGTATAGTTCATATGCTTCAAATAAACATGAAAAATGTTCAACATCTCTGGCCATTAGAGAAATGCAAATTAAGGTTCTACCTTACTCTGAAGAGAATGGTAATCATTAGGAAGTTCAACAGTAACAAATGCTGTCACAGCTGCGGTATAAAATGGAACTCCCCTGCATTGTCCATGAGAATTCAAACTAGTAGCACAGTTAGAAACAGGGAAGTTGAAGGAGCTACTCCCTTCCTTTCATTCAACTATAAACACAACATCACCCTAATGATTACCCATGTTTAAACTTAGGAGTTTGCAATGCCTGTGAGAGCAGATCATCGACCCCAGTGAGACAGAATGGGAGGCACTTGGGGTTAGAAGTGTCTGTTTAAATAGTAGAATCCGAACTTATCAAGGGTTTCTCTTCCTCCTTTTCCCTTTGCCCTTCTGGCTGTTTCTGCTGCTACCCATACCCCGTGATCTTCAATGAACTAGTTACTCTGAGTTGTATGCTTGGCAATACTTTCCCTTTCATGTACAAGAACCTGGACTATTTTTGGCCTATTCAACTGTTAACACTAGAGTAACCATTATGAAAATCAGTATGGAGATTTCTTAAAGAACTGAAATTAGAAATTCCACATGACCCAGCTATCCCCCTGCTAGCTATCTTCCCCAAAGAGCTTAAGTCATCATAGTACAGAGATACATCCATACCAATGTTTATAGCACCACATTTCATGATAGTTAAATCTTGGAAGCAGCCTATATACCCATCAACAGACAAT